TAAATTTTTAATAGAAATGACCTATTGAGCTTCTTTATTTTTTCTTGTGTGAAATCTGGCATACTGTGTCTTTCAAGTAATTCATTCATTTCATCTAAAGTTATAAAATTTGTGGACAACTAATGTTGTTCACAATATTCTTTTAATATTCACAGGACCAATAGTGATGGCCCATCATTTATTTCCCATTGTTTTCTCTTTTTTTTTTTCTTGCTTATTCTGGCTAGAGATTTATCCCCAATTTTATTGATCTTCTCAAATATTCGGCTGCTTCTAATTTTTAAAAAGGCATAGATAAATTGGAAGGACATATTGTAATTCTTAATCATTATCTCTCGCTGATGGGATTAAGAATAGTTTTTCTTTTTTGGACTTTTCAATATGGTTAATATGTACTTTCATAATGGAAAATTATTTTATTTTATCTTATTTTTTACAGGCTAAATTATTTAAATTCTTTTTTTAATATATTTTTTATTAATGATAGTATTACAGATATCTCCCATTTCCCCCCCTTTACGGTCCCCTCCTCTCAGCGCCTTGGAAAATTATTTTAAAATTGCCCACTCTTCAGTCTCTTACCTCAAAATCAACATAGTGATAATCACTTTTTCATGACCTTCATGAAAAATCTAGTTCAGTATTATTTTTTCACTTTTCATTGGGTTTTGTCTTTGGGAATTCCAGATTTATTTCCTATGGTTAAAGGCTACTGAATAGAATAAAAACATTCAAAAGAAGTGTTATTATTTAAAATAAAATAAAAGTAACATCTTATTAGGGCTTATTAGGTGTTTTGCATATTTTTTATTTAATTTATACTACAGCCTTAAGCTGCAATTATTATCATCATTTTACAGAGAGGGAAACTGAAGCTCAGAGAAAGTAATTTGTCCAAGGCGACATCTGGAATGTGGAAAACCCATGGTTCAGTACCAAGGTTTTCTAATTTCAAAGTCTGTTATCTTTCCAAGATAGATTCGGTTAAATGATTGAGGGAAACTGACTACAAGAGTACTTGCCCGCAGTGGAAAGGATGGTCATTCATTTACTATCAGTTTTCATTATGATATTGCCCTTTTTAAAAAAATATATTTTTATCGATTTCAGAGAAGAAGGGAGAGAGAGGTAGAAACATCAATGATGAGAGAGAATCATTGATTGGCTGCCTCCTGCATGCCCCCTACTGGGGATAGAACCCGCAACCTGGGCATGTGCCCTCACTGGAATCAAACCTGGGACCCTTCTGTCCGCAGGCCAACGCTATATATACGCTGAGCAAACTGGCTAGAGCATGACATTAGTAAGGTTGTTCCTGTAAAGTACACAATTTGACCCTTTTGAATTTATACAATCATGTTTTAAAATTTTCAAAATGAGAGACAACTTATTTTAAAGAAGATACCTGATTCATTGTCAAAGTGTACGTGAGAGAGAAAATGATTATGTTCTGTTTTTATTTAGTTTTTATTTAATTTTTATGACATGAAAAGACAACCTGTACAGAGGGAGAAATCGGGTCTATCGTTGATTTTTCAAAATCTGTTTTCATATATATTGTATATATATATATAATCCTACCATTGTTTATTTGGACTCAAAAGTTGCTGGAGAAAGAGTATTTTTAAATATTTGTAAATATATTTTTACAAAATATATTTAGATCTTTTGAATCCAGCAAAATTTACTGGCATTTATGTAGTCATTGATTATTCATTGCTCTTTATTTAACTATGTAGACATTTATTTTAATTAACATTTCCTTGAAGGACTTCTGAAATAAATGAGGATAATCTCAGCATGCCCAATTTTATTGTACAACTGGTAATGGTTTTAATTAATCCAAAGTTATCCTTTGATTGAATTATCATATTTATCACTGAAACTTCATGAAACCTTACAATGATTTTTCAGATATACCCCTTCCCTAGCCTACCACCTATTTTTCAAAAATCACAACGCTAGATTGCTTTCATATTTGCTATTCATGCAGTTATAATAAAAAAGCAGTTTAGATTTCATTGATCAAAATTATCTTCTGCTTAGCATATGAGTCAAGTTTTTGCTACACTAATGTTGCATAACAAACAGCTCCAAAATCTGTTTCATGCTTATGCGTGATCAGATTCACTGAACTCCAGGCTGTGGATGGGGATCACATCACCTCATGACTCCAGGTCACAGACTGAAGGAGTAATGATTATATGAAGCAAGTTCTTCACATGTTGGATGGTGGAAGCTCAGGAGAACTGTGGGAACTCACCATGCATTTTTATTCCTCAGTTTAGATTGGTATACTGTCACTTCTCCGTATTCATCCCATTGGTCAGAGAGCTCTGGCTCCCTAGTAAGACACTGCATGATCCTGCATTCAAGAGTGTGAATGTATGATTCTGTTCCAGTGACAGAGTGAAAGGTTGAAAAAAATTATAAATATATATAACTACACTTCTGGGTTTATAATTGTATAGATTGCATAAACTTTTTGATTTTTCAGGTTGTTTACAAAAGCGTGTTTAATATCTTAAGCAGATATTAAATTAAAATTATCTGCCTTCTGCAAACTAACCTTATTAAGTATAGGTGTGATAGTACAGGAGTTAAAATAGACTGGTAATTCTACCTTGCTAATAGCTTTTGCATGATGTTTGTAGTTTATAATTATTATTTCACTTTTTTTTTCATTTGATCCACAAATAAGTTAAGTAATGGTGGGATCCTTATTTTATAGGTGTGGAAATTTAAAAAAAAACACAAAACTTTATGGCTTGACTAGTTACAGCTAGTAAGTTCAAGTCCTAGATTTTCATAGACTTCAAACACAGTTATCTTTCCTTTATTCTGTACTGGATCTTATGTTCCTATTTGCTGCCTTTTCCAAGTTCAGATAAATAGCAGGAATATTTCTGGACCACTGACAAAAATCAAAGAAAGCTATCACTACACTTTATATTCCAAAAATTATATTATCTTCTATGTATTATCTTCAAATGTGTGTTTGGATTGATGCTAGAGTATCCTAAGGGCTGATTCTAAATTTTACTCATAATCACTTCAAAAACAGATAAGGGTATTTTCTGTGTAGTTTACCAGAAACATATTAAACTTCATTATGTATTTCAAAAGTATGAGAGTACATTACTGTGGTACACCAGTGCTTTTCAAATTAGTCCTAGTGTAACTGCCTCAGATTCATAATGGTTGCTTTATGGTTTGAGGCTCTACATATGAATTTATTTGGAAAAAGAAATTGGCAGGTGGCAGGGGGGGAAGTTCTGTTACAGGGAGTAAGTTTCAAAAATCAGTCTATACTAAGTACAGTTGGGAGGACAATGTTATATCTTCAGAAAACCTTTCATCACAAAATGTTCGTTTTCCACAAATATTCTATATTATAGTAATCCTATATAATAAAAGAGAAACATGCAAATTAACAGTCTCTCTGCTCCGCTCAAGCCACGCCCACAAACCAATCAGGAGCAAGTATGCAAATTAACCCAACTAAGATGGCGGCGGCCACAGAGCTAACAGCAGGAGGCTTGGGTTGCCCCCGGCGATGGAGGAAGCCAAGCTTCCCACCAGTCCTGGCCAGCCCTCAGCTCCACTCAAGGCCACAAAGTTTCAATTATAGAAGATAAATAAATCCCAGGGGGAAAAAAAAGGAGAGGCTGGGAGCTTGAGTTGCTGGGAGGCATGGCCAGCCTGAAAATGGCCATCAACCCCTCACCCAGGCTGGCCACACCCCCCATGGGTGAGGCTCCCCGCTGAGGGGCTTGGCCAGCCTGCAAACAGCCATCAGCCCCTCACCCAGGCTGGCCAGGCACCCCAGCCGGACCCCCACCCTGATCTGGGACACCCTTCAGGACAAACCAGCCAGCCCTCCACCTGTGCACCAGGCCTCTTTCCTATATAATAAAATTATATAGGTTAATAATAATTATCCTATATAATAATATGCAAATTGACCCTAACAGCAGAACGACTGGGAATGACTGGTCACTATGACACACACTGACCACCAGGAGTCAGGCACTCAATGCAGGAGCTGCCCCCTGGTGGTCAGTGCGCTCCCACAGTGGGAGCTCTGCTCAGCCACAAGCCAGGCTGACGGCTGCCAGCACAGCTATGGTGGCGGGAGCCTTTCCCACCTCCTCAGCAGTGCTAAGGATGTCCGACTGCAGCTTAGGCCTGCTCCCTGCTGGCAAGTGGACATCCCCCGAGGGCTCCTGGGCTGCCAGAGGGATGTCTGACTGCCAGCTTAGGCCCGCTCCCCTGGGAAGTGGGCCTAAGCCATCAGGTGGACATCCCCCGAGGGGTCCCAGACTGCGAGAGGCACAGGCCAGGCTGAGGACCCCCCCCACCCCCCCAGTGCACAAATTTTTGTTCACTGGGCCTCTAGTTGAATTATAAAGGACCATTCTTCTGGAAAAAAAAAAAAGTTGTGTGTTGAATAATATAACTTGTTTACCTGGTTTTTACTCTAACTCTTGCAACAAGCCTATAAACAATGTAATAAAAATCTGCTCTGACTTTTTAGCTGTGGATTTCTACTTTTATCTTGGACAGCATTCCATGTTCTCAAATCTGTGGGCTTTTCTGGTGCTTTATTCCATTTCTCTGTTTTATGTTGTCTTTCATAATATGCAAAATTTATTCCTTTCCCCCATATTTCTTTGTTCTGATTTATTTCATAGTGAAAATAAAAAATTAATAGGCAATGATAAATTGAATCTTTCAGAGGCTATATGAACCCTATTGTTAGAAAATTAATTTATAACCAGCTCATTGTTCTTGCTACTTTATCCCCTAATAGTGCAAAAATACTCTCCTTGCAGCCTTCCCTGTTTATTTCTTTCTAGATGTCACCAGTTTAATTTAGGTGTTTTCCCCTTACTGTTAGTAGTTAGTTTTTTTACATGAGCCATTGCTCAGGAGAGTGGTATTTTTATTTGTTTTAATAAAGTTTGTGTATTTAATGAATATTTTTCCCTCTTTTAAAGACTGTGAACCAGAAGAACTGACTGACTGGTCTATGGATGAAAAATGTTCATTTTGTAACCTACAAAGAGAAGCAGTCAGTGTAAGTTTCAGTGCTATGAAATTATTTCTAAACTATTTGCACAATGGTAACACAATTTTTAAGCTTAATTTGTTTTGAAACTTTGTGACTTATAGTAGAATATAAATACTTGATTTTGGTAATGAGAAGAAAATTAAAATCTCATGTTAGAAGTCTAACATTTAGCTTATCTAGTAGGTGAAAATCCCAAACTACTCATCTTTTTCGCTTATTTCACATTTCTTTCTCATAGCTCCCTAACTCATGAAATCAGTTCAGATCTGTTTTGTATTTACATAGACAAGGCTGATGATCTTGGAGGCCTGGTTTGGTCTGAGACCATCCTACAGGCTGATTTCTCAGGAATCAGTAGTTGGAGGATAATGTGGTACCACATTTTAACTTTCTTCTTTCTCTTGAAGTCTTTTGGATATCGTAATCATCTCCTGTGTAAATTATTAAATATTAGTGTCTACTGTAAACAGGGTATAAACTAGACAAGCAGCATCTTCTTGTATGGTTGGATCCTAATTCTTTACGTACTGTTGAGAGAGGGCTGAGAGGAAATGAGAACTCAAGAACCTGTACCTGTTTTGGTCAGATTAGTAGGTAAACATAACTGCTTTGTTGTTAAAATTCTCATTGCTGGCATGTTATATAGTGAAATTATTCAGCAATATATCTTATCTGCTCTTCCCTCTTTTTTGATTATAGTTTTGCTAAAAAAAATAAGGCTAAGTTGGCCCTCTATTAGAGCTAAATTTCTTTTTTCCTGACTCCTGTTTCAAATTTAATAATCTCTGTATAATTTGATATTTTTAAAAGATAGAACAAATGAGCATTTAGAGAGTTAATTTTTTTTGCCATTTTTAATGGAATCCCACAGTTAGAAAGTGATTTTTTTAATGTTGGTGTTTTTTTATATATATATAATTTTAGGATTGTATACCATCTCTTGATTCTTCACAGTCAACACCAACAGAGGAACTATCATCTCAGGCCAGTCCAACACTGAAAAGATTGAATGCCAAGCAGAAAATTACCTAAATGCACTCTTTCGAAAGAAGGTAATGTTGGTACACATTTTTTATGCTTCTGGTGTTCCTTATTTTGTTGCTGTTCTCAAGACTTCAGATGTTCTTTCATGTTTAATAAGTGATAGATATATTACATTGCAAAACTATCTTTAGAATAAATTATAGCATTTATCAGCTGTTTCTTTGGTAGCTTGAGTATGCTTACTTGACATTACAATGTCAGTATTCTTTTTAATTCCTGTTTATCTAAACTATATATAGTGGGGCCTTGACTTACGAGTGTCCCGACTAACGAGTTTTTCGAGATACGAGCCGTCTCTCAGCCGATTTTTTGCTTTGAGTTGCGAGCTAAAATTCGGGTTACAAGCCAGCTTCAGATACCCCACCGCTAGTTGGCGCAGCGAAGGTCACAGTGAACGCCACAACATCAGCCCAGCATCACGTGTCTCACTCGTTCACTTTAAGCGGTTAGCTCTTAGTTGAAGCATCAGTGTTGTGCTCGCATTTGTGCTTGCAGTTATTTTGCAAAACTTCGTTTTTTCAACCATGGATCTGAAGAAAGTAAGTGCGAAGGACAGTGCTGAGAAGAAGAAGCGGATGATGTGCATTGAATTAAAGAAAGAAATTATCGAAAAACATGACCAAGGTGTGCGTGTAATCGACTTGGCGAAGCAGTATGAGCGTAGCACTTCTACGATCTGCACCATACTGAAGCAGAAGGAGTCAATACAGGCTATAACTCCAGCCAAGGGCGTTAAAATAATTTCTAAACAGCGGACATCTATCCATGAAAATATGGAGAAGCTGCTAATGGTGTGGTTAACGGAGAAGCAGCTCGCAGGAGATACCGTGACGAAGGCTGTAATCTGCGAGAAGGCACGAGCTATTTACGCTGATTTGCTGCAGCAGACCCCAGGCACTTCAATGGATGAGGCATCGGGCGAGCCGTTTAAAGCCAGTCGGGGCTGGTTCGAAAATTTTAAAAAGAGGATCGGCATTCACTCCGTTGTCACACATGATGAGGCAGCTTACGCGGATATAAAAGAAGGTGACATCAACGAGCTCATCGAGGAGCACTCCAAGGAACTGACAACGCAGGAGCTAAAGGAGCTACAGACGCAGCAGCACACGGAGGTTTTGCAGGAAATAGATGACACGGAGGAGGAGGAGGAGGTTATCTCTATAAGTGAGATAAAGGAAATGTTGGGAATGTGGGAGAAACTTTCAGACTTTATTCAAAAGAAACACCCAGAAAAAATTGCAACTGGGCGTGCGATGGAGCTATTTAATGACACTTGCCTAACTCATTTCAGAAATATTCTGAAAGGGAGGATGAAACAGATCTCATTGGACAGGTTTTTATCGAAAACTCCTGTAGATGAAAGTGATGAAAGCGTGGCGAAAAGGGCAAAAATCAGCAAATAAGATTCAGTTATTCAGTTCAGCCTTTCTCCTCCAACTCCATCAGCATCTTTAAGTCGTTTGATCTCCAAGGTAAATGCTGTACATTAAACTTAATAAAACAAGTTTATTGCACTACATTCTATTGTTCAGTATTGTGTTTTTATACAATATTCGTTATTTTTAAATACATTTTTCTTATTTAAAAACATTTAACAAAACAATTGCGGTGTTTTTTGGGTGTCCGGAACGGATTAATGGCATTTCAATTCATTGTAATAGTGAAAATTGATTTGACATACGAGTAATTTGAGTTACAAGCTCCGTCAAGGAACAAAATAAACTCGTAAGTCAAGGCCCCACTGTAAACCAAATGAGGCTTGTTTCATTTGTTACTTTACTTGCTACACATTATCAGGCAGAAGTAGCTTTACATCTTCGTTACCCAGGGAAAATATAGAAATATAGAATCTTCCATTTTTTGTTCTTGGCCATTTCTACAGTAGTAGAGTGTCTTAATTTTCACCACATAGTAAGTCATGGTGTAGAGCAGTGGTCGGCAAACCGCGGCTCGCGAGCCACATGCGGCTCTTTGGCCCCTTGAGTGTGGTTCTTCCACAAAATACCATGTGCGGGTGCGCACGTACAGTGCGATTGAAACTTCGTGGCCCGTGCGCAGAAGTTGTTTTTCGGCCTGGGTGACTCTATTTTGAAGAAGTGGCGTTAGAAGAAGTGGGGGGTGTCGGTCAGTCGGGCGGGCGACGGGGGCCGCGAGATACGCTGCGTGGGGGAGGCGCGCGCAATTCATGCACGAGTTGAGTGAGCCAGTCAGTCAGCAGTCGAGTCCGCAAATCGCGAGCGGGTGACAAAAGTACCTACTCGAAGCATAAAGTTACCTGTATTTTTCCAACCAGCTGCAAATCTTACAGGTATTTTTGTCATCAATTTAAGAATTGTAATTATTTTGTGTTGGTGGCTTTATTATTATAAAATGAAACATTTTTTTAGGTGCCCTGTTTGACATGGCTACAAAGAAGAAGCAAAGAAAAACGGAAGATGAAAACCGTGAATTTAAAGTTGAATGGACTGAGACTTTCGCGTTTATTCAAAACTTAAATGGTCTTCCGACCTGTCTTATTTGTCAGGAAAAATTGGCACATAACAAGAAATCAAATTTGGAGAGACACTTTACAACTAAACACGTGTCATTTAGTACTAAATATCCTGTTGGTGATGCAAGGAAGAAAGCAGTTGAGGAACTTCAGAAGAGTCAAGAAAAATCAAGTTCTGTATTTAATTACTGGATGCAATCTTCCAACAATGTTAATATTGCAAGTTTTGTGGTTAGTCAAGAGATTGCTAAGAGAGGAAAACCATATACAGACGGCGAATACATAAAAAGTTGTTTTATAAATGCATCCGAAGAGCTATTTCGGGATTTTAAGAACAAAGCAGATATTCTAAAAAAAATTACAGAGTTACCATTGTCTGCTAAAACAGTGAAAGATAGAACAGTCCAAATGTCTTCACATATAACCAACCAGCAAGTCGAAGATCTTAAATTGGTTTCAGCTTTATCAATAGCAGTTGACGAGTCTTGTGACATAAATGATACAGCGCAAATTTCACTTTGTGTACGATTTATTTCATCTACAGGTCCTAAAGAAGAACTTTTAGGATTATTGCCACTCAAAGGTCAAACATGTGGAGAGGATATAGCAAATGCTGTAATTGAGTGCATTGAAAAACATCATATTCCACTCGATAAAATCGTCTCAATTTCAACAAACGGGTCGAAAAGCATGACTGGCGTAAGAAACGGGTTTGTTGCTATTTTGAAAGAAAAAATTAATCACGAGATACTTACTTACCATTGCATCATTCATCAAGAAGCGCTTTGTGTGCAGACATTTCCAGAAGAAATTTGCAAAGTTATGGAATTGGTGATTAAGATTATCAAGTCCATTATAGCTAAAGCTCTTAATCATCGCCAATTTAAAGAATTTTTAGTTGAAATGGAGAGTGAGTACGCAGATCTTCTACTGCATAACAAGGTACGTTGGTTATCAAGAGGAAACGTTTTAAAACATTTCGCTTCCTTATTAACAGAAATTAAAGCATTTCTCCTTGAGAAGGGTGTTCACTATCCAGAACTAACGAACGATCAGTGGATCCAAAAATTTTATTTCATGGTAGACGTCACATCTCATCTAAATCAGCTTAATCGTAAACTACAGGGGAAAGGAAACACAGTTTTTTCGATGTTAGAAGAAGTTATTTCATTTGAAAACAAATTATCTCTTTTTGCTCAAGATTTTGAAAGAGAAACTTTGATTCACTTTCCAAGCCTGTTGAAACATCGCCAAGAAAATAATTCTGATATTGACATTTGCTATTTCAAAACAACACTTTTAAATATGAGGGAGGCTTTTCTCAACAGGTTTCAGGAACTCAGAAACAGCAAAGTGACCTTAGCCTTTGTTAAAAAACCTCTCAATGCTACTGTAACAGAATTAAATTTTTCTCCCTTTAATATTGACATTGGCAACTTTGAAATGCAATTGCTGGATTTAAAAAATAAAGAACTGTGGAGCTCAAAATTTGAACGTCTTTGTGTTGATATAGAAATATTGGAGAAAAACAAATGTGAACTTATTTCACAGCACAAGTGGTCTGCTTTGAAAGACCTGGAGAAGGAAGATATGTTGATTTTTAACACCTGGAATAGTATTCCTGACTCATATAATCAACTGAAAAAACTAGCGTTTGCTGTTCTTTCCTTATTCGGGTCTACATATTTATGCGAACAATCATTTTCAAGCATGAACCTTATGAAGACTAAATTGAGAGGTCGTCTTATTGATGAGAACCTGGAATCGTGCCTAAAGTTAAAAACAACAACATACAAACCTGACTTACCCAAACTTTCCAAGGAGATGCAAGGCCATTGTTCACATTAGTGTTTGTCAGTCATTGTCATGATTTAATTTTATGGATATTGTAAGGTAAATTGTAAGGAATTTAATTTTATCAATAAATAATATTATTAAGTATGATATCAAGTTTTATTCAACGTACCTATAGTTTAACTGAGACTTAAAACTTTAAGTAAAGTTTATTTAGTTAATTTTAGGGAATGTTGTGGAGTGAAAGAAGATGTAGTGTCGAGGATTGAGAAAGGTATGTTGAGATGGTTTGGACATACAGAGAGGATGAACGAAAGGAGATAGACGAAACAAGTACACAAGACTAGTGTGGATGGGAGAGTTGGAAGGGGTCGACCTCAGCGAATGTACCTCAATCAGATTGAGGACGTTTTTAGCAAAGGCCAGCTTAGGAGTACCCTAATTAAGTTAATAACATTGTACCTACCTATATATTTAAGTTTAAAAAATTTGGGTCTCAAAAGAAATTTCAATCGTTGTACTGTTGATATTTGGCTCTGTTTACTGAGTTTGCCGACCACTGGGTTATATGAATAACATCTGAGGATCTGGGCACATTTATTCATTCAACAAGTATTGGAACTGATCTAGGTGCTGGGAGTAGAGGAATGAGCGAACAGAAAAAAATCCCTGCCCTCCAGAAATTTCCTTCTCTGAGCGGCTGGGATGACGTGCTGAGAAA